CAACAGTGACTAAGAAGAGGGAAGAGAGGACCCTCAGCCTAGCAGGGAGTGTTACTTAAGTGATGCTAGCTAACAAACCCATATATTTCAGAGTAAAACGAAATTTCATTTTTCACTCATGTAGCTGAACAGTGTGGGAGTTCCTGATTGGAAGGTTTTTCTTCCAGGGAACTCTTGCCAGCTTGTAAGGCTGCCATTTTGAGCACGTGACTTCCCGCCATATCCCGGGGCGTCCACTCCACTGTAGCTAGCCAGAGGACTGCCCTCGGGAGGCTTTCTGGGCTGGCTTGGTTTGGTTGGGTTGCCATGACAAAAGAGTACAGACTAGGTGGCTTAGACAACTCGAGTTCATTTTCTCACGGTTCTGGAGGTGAAAAGTCCATGATCAAGGTGTCAGCAGACACAGTTTCTTGTGGGTCTTCCTCTTTTGCTTGCAGATAGACGCCTTCTCCATTTGTCCTTATGCGACCTCTGTGCACACGCATCCCTGGGGCCTCTTTGTGTGTCTAGAGTTCCTCTATTAAGGACCCAGTCATATTGCTTTAGGCCCCACCCCCGTGACCTCATATTTAACTCATTCCCTCCTGCCAGGGCCCTGTCTGCTAATACAGTCACTTTCTGAGGAACGGGAGTCAGGACTTCAACATGAGCATCTAGGGAGACTGTTAGTGGCCTGGACTACCCACGAATGTGCTATGCATCTCTTCACGCATGGCCTCTGTGTGTGACTCACCTGGATGCAAAGAGGTCTTAGAAATGTGCCCTGGGGCAAAGCAAACAGGCTCTCCCTGGAACAGCCCCTTGCTGTTCTAGTCACCAGTTAGCCATTATGCTCTTCTTAGTACTCGCTTTACTGACCTGCCCTGTCTCCTCCCATTCAGTGAGTCTGAAACCCCGGTGATTTGCCTCGTTGTCAAGAAGCTCTAGCGGTAGCTTCTGGTCATGCAGAGACTCGGAAATGACAGCTTGTCTGCTCACTTCAGTCTCTGTCCCTAACATGTGACAGTGACGCAGAGCCAGACCAGCAGCTTTGGGTATGGAAAGGGATGGGCAAGGCAGCATGTGACAGACAGCAGTGATGATCTCCAGGGGCCTCTGCTCTGGCAGGTCTAGATTCTAGATGACCTTCGTCTCTCCTTGTCTGTGTGTGTGTGTGTTCTGCCTGCTTGTTGTCTTTGGTGGCCTCACCTCTAGTGGGCTTTGGGGATATGCTTGCTGGGACTTGCTCAGATTTTGCAGCCTACTCCCGGTTCAGGTAGGTCTGAGCACCCATGGACTGCGTGGAGACTCAAGCAGTCAAAGACAGGTTGGTTTCCTTGGCAGTACAGAACCCTCAGCGTCTCAGAGTGCTTTTGCTGCCTTGGCTCCTGGTGTCTCCATAGGTCATCGTATATCGTGTGAAGGAAGTTTAATCTGTGAACACCAGCAAATACTGTGTTGAACAGAATTGGGTAAATTTCTATTTTTGTAGGATTTCCCATATTTTTAAGTTTGACATTGACATTTTCAATCGTCCAGGGAGGGATGCAAAGCACAGTATTTTCCAAGTATATTCAAACTAGGATTTTTTAAATGGATTATCGAGCAGGAATTTATTTAAGCACCTTTTGAGGAATGTTAGTAGGTTGAAGGAACTTTAAAATTGAAACAAACTGGGGTTTTAATCCTTACCCCAGAATCACATCTCTAGCAGGTAACATCAAGTTTGGGAACTTCAGTTCACCTCAAAAGGGAAAATAAGAGTTCCCTTTTAGGGCGTTGGGTCAACTAGAGGTAGTGACTGCAAAGCGTCCGGTGCAGCGCCTGGCATGAGGCAGGTGATCTGTTATTGGAGCCAGTTCTAGTAGTGCAGTCACCAGTTGTTACAGGATGCTAAAAAAGCAGGGGTGTGCTTGATTCCCCTTGCTCGTGCTGACAGGAGAGCATTTTGTACAATTGGCAATAATGATTTTCATGTTCTTTTTAAAGAATCATAGCTGGTCTGTCTTGATACCTAGAGACGGCACCACACAGAGCATTGCCCTAGTGGCTGGAGTTGAGACAACGCCAGAATCCAGGAGGTCTTAGCAGCTCTGCCTTGTGCTGATTTCTTATATGATCTTGAACAATTTCAACTCTCTTACACTTTAGTTTCTAACTCTCATACACTTTAGTTTCCTTAGTTGCAAATGAGAATTTGACTTGATTTTTCACAATTGTTTACTTTTAAATACTGAAGCTTATTTATTCTTGAAAGATTTATCGCCATTGATTTAATTTTTATTTATTGGGCATTTACTGTTACCTTTTGGTTATCTCTAAACCTTATTCTATGAAAAGAAACAGCTTAATTTAAGGTTTCCAGTTGCTCAGCCTCACCCCTCGCCATTGATGCATGGGAAGCCATAGCAATTAATCTAGACTTGTCTGTTGTCATTTACTCAAATACAATAGCCATATCCACCAAGAGTAGCCTTTGATTTTCATACTCATCTTCAGTGTGCTGCATCATGCAGGAGGCCTGAGGGACTTTATGATTAAATGCAAGTTCTGGCAATATCATAATTCCATATATTTCCCATGATCTAGATGACCAGCATTCTTAAGAATATTTGGACTTTTGAAAGACCTGAGCAACGATCTGTATCTTTCAAAGTCTGTTCTGTTAGTGTTTGGGGAATTTACCAATGTTTTCTCTCTTCCTTTTTATCACTTGCATACAGGAAACATTCCTCAGAATTGTGTTTAGTATCTGGTTGGGGGTAAGGTTCACTCTGTGACTGTTGTTGACAGGAGTTGTCTCCTAGGTTGAGTTCCCTTATTCCCACCTAAAGACTTTGACTGATAATCTTGAATTGGGGGTGAGCAGCACCTTCTTTCAGAGTATCTGTTGGCCCACTTCCTTTTGGAGTAGCTGGAATTTTTTATTTCAGAATCTCAGTCGAAGTATACTTTCCTTCCTGGGCTTTTGACCATTCACTCTGCAATGCTGAGAACATTTGCCTCTGTCTCTGTCTAATTGACTTGTTTTGAGGGGTTGTGCCAGAAACCACATGGACTCTGAGCTGTAATAAGTTATTTAGGAACACTTTGTTCCTGGTACTTCATCTTTATTTCTGCCCACCCCATCCTCTCTCTGACTCCTCTGGCACTCTCCCCGGTCACCTTCCCAAGGTGGCAATCCATCCAGTGCTGGCAGACAATGATGGCGCCGGAGAGCTTCCTGGAGCCACGTGTGTGAAGAAGAGGAATGACATCAGTTCAGAGCTTGGTGTGCTACATTTAGTGCTAACCAGCGACAAATTTGCCAGCTTCCCCAAAGTGTGCCCTGAACTCTGTCTCTGTGACTGGTAATCGCATTTGCAGGCTGTGTATGAGTTCTTTTTACTTACAGCCATAATCCTGCAAAGCTGTGTGTATTGTCTGCAGCTATTCTTTTGCTTATTTGGTAATGTCCATCTTTGAAGCATCTAACACTTATATCTGTTTCCTTGACAACATGCTATTAATGCTGCTTGTGTTACTTAACAAGTTGTATTTTTCTTCCCTATCTTTCATTAGACTGTGAACTCATAAGCAAAGATGGTGTCTTACTCTTCTTCAATTCCCGAGCCCTAGAAAAGTAATTGATACCGAGTAGATGTTTCTATTAAAATTTAATGAATGAACCCATCAAAAATGCACTGACGCAAAATGCACCCTGAGCAGCCTCACTCGGGGTAGCACTAGAAAATAGTAGTGATCTCGCATTTTCCAACAGGCAGAGTTTGGGGCTGTGCACCTGCTTAGAGTAGATATGAATTATGAAAAGAGACAAATGACCTCGCAGGAGGTTGGAAGGAAAAAGAACGGAAGACTGGCGACAAGGTGTCTGGGGTAGAAGCATGTGAATAAACACAGATGGGCACACACAGAAAGATCTTCATATCGTTATTCCATGCCCACCAGAGGGCATCGATACAGAGGAGGCACACAGTGACCAAGTGGACAATAGGGCTCAGCCAGTTTGACATCAGCCAGTCTCTGTGGGTGTCTTCTCAGTGCTGACACGATTAGCAGCTAAGAACCAGGGGCAGAGATGGAGGTCAAACACGAGCCCAGTGTCATACACTCCCACTTAACAAGGCTCACCTAGCTGCTGCCTTGCTGGATGTGTCTAGTCTGCCAGCGGCAAGACAAGTGCCGAACTCCCCTTGGTGTCATTTCTCAAGGAGGTAAATCCACCCCTTGTTGATATGCTGATTATATTATTGGCCCTTTCCATCCTGGAAGGGCTGGTGGTTCACTCTAACAAGAGTGTGCACATATTCTAGGCGTGGGTTTGCCTTTCAGTCCACAGGACCTTAGCCAGTACCACATCTAGATGTTTAAGTGTTTGGCCCACTGCTGTGAGATCCCCCATCACAATGCTTCAGAAAAGGGGGTGTACTTTCTGTCAAGATAGGGGATGTGAGAATGAACCCATGGCCATGGGATCACCTGGTTACATCAGGTATTGTACTACCTGGAGCCTGGTAGCCAGAGCAGAATGTTGGAACTGCCTGTTGGGGCCTGATGCTGCAGGCATGGCATGCATTTTCCAAGGCATATGCATCAAATCAAAGACCTTCTATGGCACTGCACCCCCATTAGGGAAGGAAAATGACCCCATGTACCATCACTTCCCATAACCCCCTGGGGGATTTTGTGATTCATGTTCTTACAACTCTGGACTCCAATGGTTAGAGCTTAGAGGGCCTACTCTTCCAGAAGGGCATGCGTTTAGCTGGGGACATAGTAAAGATGTCACTGCATCTTCTGCTACACACTTTGGACTCCTTGCATTCCAGGACCAGGATAACATGCGTGTCAGCATCTTGGCAGGGGTAGCTGACTCTAATAGTGAGGAGGAAGTGGGCCTGTGCTGCTCAGTGAGACCTGGAGGAGTATGGGAAACTCCAGTGATGACTGCCGGGGCCTGGGGGCACTGCCTGTCTCCAGTGCTATTGCGAACGGAGGGTCACGGCCACTCACCTGAGGAATGCACAGTGGCCAGGAAACCAGGGTGCACCAGCATGCGGACTTGGTTATGGCACCAGGCAAACCGCCAGGGCCAGAAGAGGTAGAAGCTAAGTGGGAAGGACATCTAGAATACACTGCGGGGAAGAGAGATGATGACTGCTGTTGGGCCTGAGTCCCTATAGAAGCCAAGACTGTCACACATTCCCCTAAACTTTCTTCTAACTTTTCCCTCTGGAAGGGAGGCCCCCAGAAATCCAGATGAAACTGCTTCCCAAATATATATGGAGGACTCCACCTGAGTCTCGTGAGAGATGGGACTGTGGTAGATCAGGGCCCCCACCACCCACATTCTCCTCCAGGGAGCCTGACGCTCAGCGTGGGCATGTGTGAGCACAGGCGCACAGGTCTGCTCCCGCCCCGCCTCTGCAGCTCGGAGCTGCGCCCTCGCGTCCACGCCTGTCCCGGGCAGCTGGCTGCGGAGACAGATAGGCATGTCCAGGAGGGTTGGCTCTAATGGGCAAGATTAGCTCCACATGTGCCTCCAGGCTGACCAAGCCCTGTGTGAGAGCCACATCAAGTTCACCGTTTTCCTCTGCCCCGTCTTAATTCTTTGCCCTTTCATGGATATAGATCCCAAATAAACCTTCCTGGCACAAAAAGGTGTGAAGGGATTTAACTGAGGAGTCTCGTAGTTTATGTGACAGAATTTGGGGTTCATCCTGGGCCAGCTGGACCCTGTGTATGGGAGAGCTTTAAGCAGGTGTGTTTGCATTTTAGCAGTCACTTACCTGCAAAAAGCAGTGACTATGAGTGGGAGCATTGCTTCTGTCCTGGAGGTGGGGTCAGTGCAGCGGCGTGGGGGGCCATCTGCCCTGCGGCCTCGGAAACCTCAGCAGCAGATGACAGTCTCGTACTGATACTGTGACGGTGGCTACAGGCTTGTTGTTTTGTTGGTTGAAGGGATGCAAATGAGCAACAGTCAAGGAAGATTCCAGAGCCCCGGTTTGAGCGTGGAGATTCAACTCGAACCTCTTATAAGGAAGAACCACTTGGATGGCTTCATCTGTGGTCAACAGGACAATTTCTAGGAAGATAGTTTGTTGCTAAGATGAATGTCGGGATTATCGAGTGTGGGTGTTACAGGTTTTGTTCTGACTTAATCCCCACTCCAGGGACCTCTTGCCCAGTAAGGACCGAGGCTGAAGACCTGATCCTTCCCCTTGTCCTGCTATGTTTCCCGTTTGTTCTCCTGGCTCTGGGGTTAAAGTCACATGATAGAAAGAACACTTGTGCTGGAAACTAACCCTCACTAGCATTCTGTAGTTCTAAGGAGGTACTTTCTTTCTAATCTTAATAAAGTTACAATTCTACATCCAACCCATTGCTGCTCAGATCAGACTTTGCTGGAGCTGAAGATAAAGCTGCGATGGAAAATTCTCTCACCTCCTCTGAGTAGTGACTGACGACGAACAGACTATCCTTGAATGTCAAGAATTTTTGTTTTATAATTTCTATCTTGGAATGCCTTATCATATTTATTTCAGTTCTTTATTATTTATTTCAGAGGTTTGGGAGATTAGGTGGCAGCCAATGTAACATATGTAGGGGGAAAAAAACCTTTCATAAGCTCTCTGGACGCAGAACAACTTGGTTAACAGGCTCGGGGGAGAGGCAGAGAGGGGTGGATGTTTTTGATTCTAGTCATGAATTTATGAAAGAGAAAAGCTGGTGATTTCTTTAGATGTTAAAATGCAAGAGTCATTGTCTTCCAGAGTCTCAAGAAAAGATTAAGTGATCCATTGAAAAAATGTTCCACACAAGTAAGGGTGGACCCCTTGTGTTTTAGGTGTGTGTGGAAGGTTCCGTGGACATGATTCTTCCAGATAGTCTATCTTTGCTAAAATTTAAAATTTTATTTATAAGACTCATTTGAAAAATATGTCTGCACATTTCTTTAGCCTTTTCAGAGAAAAGGGTATCTGGTAGACATTTTCTTACTATCTCAGGTCTATCATGAATAGCAACTAATGAGCCATAAAATGATAAAATAGTATGATCATATTATCTGATTTTGTTTTATATCCAGTCACTTCAGGTTGCTTGGTTTTGTAATTTCTCGCCTCTATGACTTGTATTTTTATTTATTTTTTTTTACTTTTTTGAATGATATGCCTATAACTATAAGGTGAGTTTCCTATGGGTAAGAAACACAATTTTAAATGAGAGATTTGAGGAATTTCTCTGGCTGTTTATTTTTTTTTTTGGTGTTGATGAAAATATTTGTTTGTTTATTTACTTACCTTTTCAGTTGCTGATTCTTCCCCATATTGCGGGTGTAGTTTATAGGAGAGCCACATACTCCCTTGCTGGGAACATGCATTGTCCTAGTTGAGCTGAGAAAAGTAAAACACTTAGATAAAAATGTCTTGCCGTCACATCTTATTTTATGTTGTGAAACTACAAATAGGGTTACCGTTGCTCAGGTAGAAGTTTTTGTGTGTTACAGGGCTCACTTCCCCTGCGCCGCTGTGCACCCAAAGAGAAGCCCCTCAGCAGCCAACTGGGACTCCTCACCTGCGTTTCCTCAGGAGCATCAGGGGAGCCAGTGCTCTGCTCCACAAGGTATGTTTCCCAGGAAGGGAGTGTGTCTCGGGTAGAACGTGGGTTGTTGTTCAGGGATTTGGAATATAGCAGCAGTAACCACCACAAACAGTGCTTGATCATCATAAAGTATTGCAGAGATGGATTTTCATAGTTGGTCTTGCATTGTCTTTTTTTTTTTTAATTTTGAGAAGGGAGAAGGAGGGTCAGAAGATTCCATTTGCTGTAATTTTTTGTTGTCTTTCATCTGTTTCCAAAGAATCTAGCATGTAAGCATACTGAAACCCAGTGGTTCTGCCAATCTCATGGTCAAATCTTGAAAACAATTCCCTAGATGTTGTGAGGCTGTGGTCACTGGTGCAATGTGCTTGGAGTGTGGTGGGATTCAGTCACACAGACTTAGGCATAAGCACTGCTTCCAAACCACAAGACCTGGGAGGTCGCTGACCACTTGAAATGACAGTGTCCACTGCCGCAAAGTAGAGGTGCTGGTATCTGTAGTAGGGGTGTTGGTATCAATTCTCTCTCATAGATAGATCATGTTCTTAGTAAGCCCCGGGTAAGCATACAAAGAACTGTAGTTTTTATATTAATGTAGTAATAACCTTAAACTTTTATATTGCCTTGGGTTGAAGGCTCAAGTGCCTTTATAGTGGATCAATAGTCTTTATGGACTGTCTTCTTTAGAGTGATTTTAGGGTTTTTTTATGCATACAAGACTTGGGGTACAGGCCAGAGATGTGGGGGGTGAGAGGACCACCAGAGACAGGCTGAACAGGCAGACTGACGGAAATACACTGCTGAGGGGAGCAGTCTACCTCACCATGTGGGTTTCTCCCTGGCTGCCTGGAGATTGAACTTGTGCTACAGAGGCTGTAGATTGCTTCACAGTGCGGTGCTTAACCCCTTGCGCCACCAGGGAGGCCCTAGAGTGATTTTAGTTTTATCTCAGCTTCAGTGGCCCAGAGCACAGCCTGCTTCCATATTATATTCCCTTTAGGAAAAAAAAATGAAGTGTTAGAAAGATGAACAAAGTGTTTTGAAATACCCTCTGTGGCTGGGAGGGAAGGAATTAGGGGAAGGAAAGAAGCTATTCAAGTTCCTTATTTTACTGCAGCAAGCCCTGGATTTGCATTAAGTATTTTGTTTAGGGAAACAGTAATTTTAGCAAAATAGTTTTGTCACTGGCAAAGCAATTCCTCTGGATACCGCATCTCTAGTTTCTTAGTAATTGTGCTCTGATGTGTTATAACCATTCATTTGTACACTTGGCATGCATACCTGCACATCCATCTCCTTTACTGTCTAACATGCCAAGAATAGAAGTGAAGGCCGTCACCTCAAGGACCTAAATCTACGAGGTGATTTAACTTGGACATACATACTAGGGACTATGGTCGGTCTGGGAACACTTCCATGCAAGGGTTTCAACATTATATGGCTCTTGATCATGGTAAGACCTTTGAAAAAAAAAGAAGAAACTACTTCAGCATCTCATCAATAGAGAAATGATTAAACAAATGACATCACTGTCATACAGAGGAATGCTGTGAGCTGGAAGCATCTCTAAGACGTATTAACTGAAAAAAGGAAGTCAGAGAACTATGGATAGGAAATGCCACCATTAGTTAAGAAACCCACACATGTGAATGTTTTATAGATCGAAGAATATCGGTCCCGTAGACAACAGAACCTGTGACCTCAGCAGGGGGAGAAGTTGAGTATAAACTGAGGAGGAATTTGTATGACCCTATCGAGTTCTGCCTTGTTTGAATCTCTTAAAAGAAAACGGTCCTGTTAAATGAATGGCAAGTAAAGTCAAGAAGACGTAAATCTTTTTAAAAACTGTGTTTAAATATGGTAAAATTCACATAGCAGCCAGCTGGCCATGTTGACCATGTCAGTGCACGGTGCAGCGTCGTGAAGTCCATTTCCCTGGTGCGCAGCCCTCAGCACGTCTGTGTCCAGGACGTGGTGTCTGTACCCACTGAAGGCTGAGTCCCCTCTCTTCCGCCCCAGCCCCTGGCAGCCTTCATTCTTCTCTATGCTTCTGTGAATTTGACCCTCCTTTGGGTACCTCACCTATGTGGAAACAGCTCACCTATGTGGAAACAGCTCACGGGCTGTGATTGGCCCGTGTCAGTCGGCATGTCCCGTGCTGCTATGTTGTGTCTTCATGGCACATCCTCGTTGTGACCAGATGTTAACACTGCCCTCCTTTTCAGGCTGAATAGTATGCTCTCTCTCTCACATCTGCCTGCCTATATCCACCTGTCTGTCTGTCTGTCTGTCAGTCACCTATCCACCTATCACATGTTGTTTATGCGTTTGTCACTCTTTTTAAGCTAGCATTTCAGTTGACTTTAATACATAGATAATAAACTGTGAATAAGGGAATATTAAACTGTGACAGAATATGTCATTCTGTCATAAAGTTTAAGGAAGACTGAAAATCAGGACTAGTCTGAAAGTTGCAGTCTCTCCTTTTGGGTCATTAGGATTCTGAATCAGGGAAAACTGGAGTCTAAATGTCCCCGTAGGTCAGAGGGTGGGTAATCTCAGACGGAACAGACAGGTATCCCATAATTGTGATGTTTCTGAGTCTCATGTCAAACATTTCATCACATGTAAATGTGTTAGTGCCCTTCTACTTAAACTGCTGAAGGAACCAATTAGGTGGACTTTTAGGGTATTTTACAAGAAGAGTAATTAGGAAGACAGGGCTTTAAACTTTGCCTAATTTATCCTGCATCCGGAGTCATAACTGAAACTGTATTATATAAAAGAACGGAGGAAATTGAAAACAGGGATTGCAGAATGTTAACAAAACATCATCCCTGTACACACAGTATTTATATTGCCAAATGCCAGTTGGAATTCCTTTTGCATTTTATTTTTGCCTAATTAATAGTGTCAGGAATTCTAAAGCAATTAGGAGCGAAAAAGGGAAGATGGGGAAACAAACTTTCCCAGTGTTCTTCTCTTTGTTAAATGCTTGCAGGCGGCTTGTTTATGCTCTGCGTGTTTCCAGTAGATATGCTCCAGGTATTGTTCAAATATAATAAAATCTTGTGTTTTCTTATGTCGCTGTAAAGGCACATGCATTAACTTACTCCCCCTATCAGAACCGTCTGTTACGTAATTTCTGACAAGGGTTGCAATAACTTCGCCAAGGTCACTGCCAGAGCCCGGGAGGACGAGGAGCCTGTGTTTACGCTTGGCGGCGCGTGCCGCCTCTCTTCCCGCTGCCCCGTTTTGCTCTCACTCGATCCCCTTCTCTCTGTTTTTCTCATTCAGCCGTGCAGTTAATATATTTTTAGTCTGTGATTTTCACTGGCAGCCATATTGTAATTTTTCACTTCTTTTGGCTTAGAGTTCATTTTACTTTTCAGACTCACTTATTGTATCATTAATAACTCTAGCTTTTTCCACTCTCGGAGAGAGGCTGTGAGAAAAGGCAGGCAAAAATGTCCAAAACGCAACGTGGCAGCACTGCAGAATACAGAAAACGGTGAAGATATTGTCCAGAAATTTTTAAGACTACAGTTCCTCTGGTTAAAGTAGCCTTTTTTCATATCTGTTCCTTACGATATGACAGTTTTCAAGTGGAATGGTGGGCGGCCACCTGCTGTGAATGCACAGGGGGCGGCAGTGCAGCTGGCACGCCCGTTGTCATGCATGATGGGAACCCGGGCGGGAGGCATCTCTGGCATTTCAGTACCGAGCTGATGAACAGAGATTCTCTACATAGTACGTGTAGATTAGACGACATTGATTTGACAGTCACAGATACACTGCTATATAATTATCCCTTGAGTTTTATAGTATGTGTGTAATTACAGTAACTCCGTATGAAGAAGAGCATTAGCAACGTATAAAGTGCTCTAAGCTGCCTATGAAGGAGTTTGAGAGCTTTCCCCAACTCCCTAAAACACGTCTCTTTCCACACCCCTGGGGGCCGGCGGGCCTCCCTGTGCCACCAGGGGCCAGCACTGCCCAGCCTAGTGTCCGTCAGTCAGCACAGTTCTTTATTCTGTGGCCTGGATTGCTCACAAACTAGTCTTCCTGCCTCTGTTCTTACTACTGTTATTTCAGGTTCTAATCATCTCTTGTCTGAGTTACTACCAATTCCTCTAACATTAACTTTTTGCCTGGACTTTATTCCACTCTCAATTTTCTGAGTGAAAATATAGCATCCTACAGTCTTGTTGAAAACTTCTCAATGGCTCTGCAGTGCTTATGCCTGTATTTCCATACCTTTCTGATTGCACAGCCCTGTTTATCAATGAGCTAAGTGTACTTCCAAATAGGAAAATGAAAGGGTAAAAATTAAAGCGCAAAAACTATTTTTAAGTGCTCTGCTGCTCTTACCAGCTGGTATTTCAAGACAAATTAAATTTAGATGAGCCACAAATTATAGTGGCTGTAGATCTATATTTCAAATAACTGTATTAATTTCAATTTGTTTTGCCTTCATGTCAGATTTTCTTAAATCATCATAACTTCTGACATCACAGAAGTGATGAAATGCCAAGCCATTGTGCCCTCACTGCTATGTGGCATTATTAGTGCTATATTCAGAGAACTGGTTTTTTATAAACCACTTGTCTATGTTGTGGAGATCAGTTTGGCTAAAAGTATAATTAGCATTGATAAAATTAGAAGTGTAATTCATGATTTGTATGTGCAGTTTATAATTCATGAGTTTGTGTGCAGTTAACTGAGCACATAAACAGTGCATTATTTGGAAATACTCAGAAAGCACACATAAAAACTTCTTATTTGGGAAGCTTTCCTATTCTTCCCTCAGGATACCATAGGGGGCATTTTGGTCACCTCATACAGCATGGATTAGGGATCCAAAAATCTAGGTTTATTGTAATTGAAACCGCAATTCTTCGCCATTTTAAAAGAAAGTAAAAATAGAAATTCTAATGCATTCTTTATACATACCAAAGGGTCATCTTTTATACATACCTTTAGAGCCATGACCTATAGGATAAAATTCAAACTCCTTAATGTAACCCTTACTTAGGATTAATGTTTGCATAGTCTCTATTTTCCAGCAACTTGCTGTTACATAATTAAGTATATTTAAATAGATTTCAAGTGACAGTATATTGTTGGGTATTGCCTTTGTATTATGTCTTCCAATATTTGTATTTTGCTTGGAATATTTAGAACATGTATATACATTTAAAGTGAATATCAGTTTGGTTGGATTTAAATCTACCATCTTGCTATTTATTTTCTATTTATCCCACCTGTTCTTTTTTCTTTTACTACTTTACTTTCTTCTTTTAAGTTATTTGAAATTTTAATGTTTGAGATTAATATTGATTAATTTTATTTTTTTAAATGATTGCTTTGATTTTAAAGTTCTGTCTTTATCTCATTACAATCTATCATCCAGAATTATGTCACTTTTTGCAAACGTGTATTTCGACTACCTTTTGTCATGTTAGGTGATCTTGTTGTCGTGCGTTTTATTCTATATTTTCCCTAAGTCTTACAATACATCATCATCATCATCATCATCATCATTATTATTATTACATCAATCAGCCAACTATAATTTAAAACAGGAAAACCCTTTTTTGTTTTCCTGCATATTTACCATGTCCCACACTATTTATACTTTTATAGAGTTCCAAGGTTTCATCTGCTATTTTTCTTCTGCTTTAAAATTTTCTGTAATGTTGATATCATGTTCTTTCTGTTTTTGTTTGCCACAGGAAGGGGTTTTCTTTATCTTTATTTTATTTTATTTTATTTTTAAAGATTTATTTATTTATGCATACAAGAGCTGGGGTACAGGTCAGAGGTGTGGGGGGTGAGAGCATTCACCAGAGACAGAGTGGGGAGCAGGACAGGCAGACCGACTGAAATACACTGCTGAGGGACAGCGGGCGAGACAGGAGAGGTCTGCCGCGCCATGTGGGTTGCTCCCTGGCTGGCCGGGAATCGAACTCATGCTGCAGTGGTTGCGGATTGCTTTGTAGGCTGCGTCTTAACCTTGTGCCACCAGGGAGGCCCTATCTTTATTTTTGAGGCTATTTTCTCTGGATGAAAGTTTTTTAAATATTTAAAAAAAGTTTGATTTCCATCTGTAGTGAATATTTTATAATGAGAAAACTATGATCATTATTATCTTTTTTTCTTTTTGTAGATGAGTTAGGGTTCTTCAAACCGTTAGGGTGGATGGATGATGGATGGATGGATGGACGGATAATAAATGATAGATGATTGATGGATGATAGATGATAAAGTAGATAGATGTAAGAGAGCAGGTGATTGAAGATAGGTAGATAGATAGGTAGCAAGATAAATGGCTCGATAGGTGGATGAAAGAAGAGATTCATTATAGGAATTGATTCATGTGATGGTAAATGCCCCTAAGTCCCATAATTTTCTGTCAGTGAGCTGAATGTCCAGGGAAGCTGATGGTATAGTTCTTGTCTAGTGAGTGTCACATTGTTGACTGTCTGGATTTTGTTCTGGCTTATTAGCTTTCTAGTGGTAAAGTTACTTGCAAATTAGCTAAAACCTACTGAGGTTTATTTTTAAGAATTGTAAAGCAGACTTAGACTGGCCTAGTGGTAGTTACCCTTTTTATGCTGAGCTGTCTTCCATCTGCAGAATGTTTTCAATGTCCAGTGGTGAATCTCTGCTTTCATGAGCCGGAGTTTGAATATCTCCCAGCTCTGCAAAAACTCTTGAATTGGTTGTTTTTCACTTCTCAGCTATATCTTTGCCCAGTCTCTCAGAATTTCACCATGGAGTGGTTTATTATTCAATAAAAAAATCAGGAGACCTCTATGAGTACTTCTGAAATATCTTTTTCTGTCAATAGCTCCTTTTGGAAACTCTCACTCATAACTCCATTCACCTCAGATTCCTGACCTCAGAAAAGGAAATTGAATGAAATGTCCGTGCTTGACTTAGGATTCCTTCCTCTCCACTGTGTTCTAGAATGTGATCTCATAAAGGCATCTGAGACAATCATAAGTCCATTCTGTTCATTTCTCTTTATTCAGGGATCACAATCCTGAACTCTTGGTTGTCCAATATCTGAAAATAGTTCTTCCTCTTTCCAATTGCTCACAATAATGGGGAGTAAATCTGTTTCCTATTATTTGTCCATGTCAAGAAATTGAGTCAGTTTGGATAGTTCATTTTGAATTTTTTTATTTTATTCTATCTGCAGTATGTATAGGTACAGATTTATTTTTATCTATCCTTCTTGCTTCATGTTGTAACTTTTTGTACATGTAGAGTCGTGCTTTTTATCAATTCTTAAAAGTTCTCTGTTGTCACATTAGAATTATATCATCTCCTTTCTTTCTGTTCTTTTATCCTGTTATTTTAATTAGCCATATGTTAAAATTTCTCATGCTATCTTTTTTTTTTTTAAAGATTTATTTTTATTTTATTTTATTTATTTATACAAGCACTGGGTACAGTCAGAAGCGCGGGAGGGTGAGAGAATTCACCAGAGCCACCTGGGAGCAGAGCAGGCAGAAGGACCGAAGTACACTGCTGAGGGGAGCAGCGGGCGGCAGGAGAGGTCTGCGCGCCATGTGGGACCCTCCTCCGGTGGCTGGGGAGCAGCCTGGGATCAAACCGGCATCGCAACCCAGCGCTCAACCGCTGCGCCACCGGGGAGGCCCTCTCATGCTATCTTACACTTCTCTAAAATCCTTTTTAATGTGTTCATCGTTTTGATTCACAGTCACTCATTTTCGATAATTTGTTCAGATCTTATTCCAATCCACAAATTCTCTTTTTTGACAGTGTTTCACCTATTTTTAACCAATTCATTGAATATATTTATATAAAAATTTTAAACTATCATATCTTTTTTCTCAGACTCTTTTGAATTGTTTATTTTATTATTTTTAAAGATTTATTTTGTTTATGCATACCAGAACTGGGGTACAGGCCAGAAGTGTGGGGGGTGAGAGGATTCACCAGAGACAGAGTGGGGAACAGAACAAGCAGATTGACTGAAATACACTTCTGAGGGGAGCAGTGGGCGAGTCAGGAGCTGCACCACGTGGGTTGCTCCCTGGCGGGGGATTGAACTCATGTTGCAGTGGCTGTGGATAGCTTCACAGGTTGCGTCTTAACCCCTTGCGCCACTAGAGAGGCCCTCTTTTGAATTGTTTAATTGTTAAATATTCCTAATATATTTTTTAAAAGATTTATTTCGTCATGTATACTAGAACCGGGGTATAGGGCAGATGTGCGGGAGGGTGAGAGGATTCATCAGAGACAGAGTGGCGAATAGAACAGGCAGACTGATGAAATACACTGCTGAGGGGAGCAGTGGGCGAGACAGGAGAGCTCTAATGCACCTTGTGGGTATCTCCCCCACCATCTGGGATCGAACCCGCACTGCAGAGGCTGCAGACAGCTTAACAGCACTGTGCTCAACTGCCTGCGCCACCAGGGAGGCCCATTCTTAATAATTTTTGATAGCCATGTTTATTTTCTATTTTAAAATTTCTTCTTACATGTCATTGAAGATTTTTAAACATGTCTTTTAAAGACTCAGCAGTTCTGTTATCTGAATTTTTTCATAGGGTGATCTCTTGACTTGTGCTGTTTAGTTCCTTGTGTAATTGAACTTGGTTAGTGGGAATCCTGGGGTTCTAAATTTTTATTAACTTTCTCCACAGACGATTTGTTTTAACTTCTTGGTGGTAGCGCAGAATGGGGACTTCAGTCTCCTCCTCCTAGCTCTGCCTAATTCAGAAGTATCAGGTTTAACTCTTACACATTGTTATCAACCCTTGGCTTACTCTGCTGTTCAAAACCCAGTACTGGTGTCAGGCCCAGCCCAGCTTCTGTGTGCACTTAATCTCTGTCTTTATTTTCAAGTTTCAGTTCACAGTTCGAAAGTCGGCACCAAAACCATAGTAGCAATGTAGCTTATTAAACACACGTGCACACACATGCATATATATGCACATACATGTATTTGTGCTGAAGTTAGTTTCACCATTAAAAGCTACCTTTTATTATTAGTAGTTTTGAGTGAAGAGAAGCTTTCAGTAATGTTAACTGGGTTGTCATGAAGAAAAAACACAAACGAAAATTTCGAGTAAGAATAAGATACTTTTTGTTGACAGACTTGCTAAGCTGCACATCTGGTCCTGGAGCTCTTCTCCCTTGAACTCTAGACCTCCACATCCAGTGCCACTTGGCATCTGATGAAGAGGGTGTTCCTTTCTTGTCAAACCTGCTTCATCCATGCTCTCACCTGTCTTGATGTCACGGGAATTCCATCTTTCTAGTCGCGTACATCCAAACCTTAGAGTTGTACTAAACTCTTTTTTTCTCGTGCAACCTCTCTCTAAACTCTCAGAAAACACGTTGGTTCCACATTTCAATTATAACTGGTATTGGGTGACTTACCACCTCTATTCCCCTTGTCATAGCCACCGCCCCCCCCCCCGCCCCGGCTGGCTGTAATGGCCATGTCGCTACTCCTCTTCATCCCACTGGCTTCACGAACAATTGCACCAGCACCTAGAACGGTGGCCCAGGCAGGTGCTCAGCAGACATTTGTAGGATGAATGAAGTGAGTAAAATACTCTCTGTGGCTGCCTTCTATCACCGGACGTGTGTTACTGTGCTCCTCTCAATCTTTGCTCAGCTGTGACATCAACAGTTAAAATAATTGATTAAAAATGATCACAAAATATTCCATACTTAAAGGTGTAAAATAATGTCCGTGTAGCTTACAGAAGTAACGAAATGCATAGACATGAAATGTTACCCATCTCTTGGAAGCCTTCCTGCTTTAGCCACCCATAACTGTCCTTTTCCCTCAAAGAGTGGTCAGTCACTGTGCTGAATTTTGATCACTTCCTTATTTTCTTAGTAGACATATGCGACTCTGAAAATAAAATACCCACTTTTGTAAGTTTCAGTTTGTCTGAGTGGCATCGTGCTCAGTGTTTCCCTCTGCAGCTTTTCCCCATGGGTGCCAGCTCAGTGGCCCCTCGGCGTGCCGAGGGCGTCCTGGCACAGGCGGCACCTGCTGCAGAGCTGCAGAGTTTTCTTTCTTTTTTTTTTTTTTTTAAGTTTTATTTATTTATTTATTTGTATTCATTTATTTATACAATCACTGGGTACAGTCAGAAGCGCAGGAGGGTGAGAGAATTCACCAGAGCCAGAGCGGGGAGCAGAGCAGGCAGAAGGACCGAAGCACACTGCTGAGGGGAGCAGCGGGTGGCAGGAGAGGTCTGCGCGCCATGTGGGACCCTCCTCCAGTGGCTGGGGAGCAGCCGGGGATCGAACCAGCACTGCAGAGGCTGTGGGCAGCTTCGCAACCCAGCGCTCAACCGCTGCGCCAACCGGGAGGCCCAGAGCCGCAGAGTTTTCGATGTTACTTTCCCATCTCCACTTTTACAACAATTCCTTCTCCTTTTACAGAAGAAAGACTCTCCTGTCCTTACCCTACCCCGCAGCGCCGAAACCTTCAGTAGTTCAGAACAGGGACAGTTGGTAATACTGGGCTTGAGGCAGTGAGTCAGTCTCTGTTGAGTCTGAAACTGTGAAGGGTCTGAGCTGTTACTCCACTTACACACTGCTATGTATCTATCCGTGCAACACACACACGTACAGCCACAAGCCCTCAGGACCAGATGCAGACTTATAGAAAATTCCTGCATCACTTTCTCCTTCCACAGCTCTCTGCGGGGGATGCGGCTGTCACAGATGTTCTCTGAGCACCAGGCGGGTTTTGTACTGTGGGAGAGACCCTGAGGCTATAAATGGAGATGCTTGTATGGGCAGCTGGCACAGTTGGCCCTCCTCCCTCCAGAGACAGGGACCTTGCTGCAGATGCCAGGACATCTTCTCTGGGGCAGTGGGAGTCCTGCCACCCCTGGAACACGGACCTCTCCCAGGGAGTGGCTGCTGCTGTCTCTGCAGCCTCCAGCTGACTGGGAAGGGTTGTTTGCCATCCAGTCATCCTGATGGCGGTGGGTCGTGTATTCAGAAAGCCCTTTCTGTGCAGAAGTGTTTCCCGCAAGGTCGTGACTGCAAGTACATTATTCTGAATCCTTTTTTTTTTAATTTATTTTTTTATTATAAATTTTATTTTTATATTCCCCATACAATTGCGACCCCCTTATTTTGACCCCAATCGCTCCCCTCCCCACCCCCATAGAGTGTCTCTGGTGAATCCTTTTTTTAAAAGGCAGGTGGCTTCCCATTCTGTGCTCTCAGCAAATTTGAAGAATATACTGAATTATCAGCTGATATCTCGTTATGATTTATATTTCATGACAGATAATTAGGTGATACTGGCATGGGACCCAAAGGCCTGGAGGGGCCCAAGGGTATGATTGTTGTTAAAATGCTCTCTGTTTCCATCTACTTAACTTGTAAGACTGTATCTCGCTTTATTTATACAAAAATGAAAGTAGCAACAGAACTGATGCTGAACCATGTTCTGGTCTAGAAAAGTCTATAACCAGTGTGTAAGTACATAAACTTCAGGAGAACAATGTCTTGGGCTCTGTTTCTAACTCAGTATTGTAAGAGTTGAGAATTACTAAAATCTGCTTTATGTTTATGTTGTTTGATCAGTCGTATACTAGTGATTGTAGGGGTAGCCCAAACCAGGGGGAAAATTTTAATCTCTAAGTCAGCTCATTTGTCACCCCTCAGAGAACTTTCTAAGTCATTTTCCTCTTACCTCGTTTGTACACAAACACAACCAGCACACCTTTCTCACAGTAACCAGGCAGCTAGATTTATTTCTCAGCTTACGTTTCTGCAGTTTCTCGGGTCTTTATGAGCTCGAGATAGGGCCTTTTACTTAGGTGTCTTCAGGACCTAGCACCAGTCCTGAGAGAATGTGCAGAAAGTACCTGTTGGTAAAAGCCTTTGTGCAGGAAGCAAGGAAACCCCAGAGGCCCAGAGGCTGC